TATCGACACACTTCTCTCGTACACCGTTTCTCAACAAACAGTTCCATAGTGCGGTCCTATCAACAGAATCCAAGGTCTATGGTAAGCGTAACGGTGTTCAGGCAGCTGTCGGAGGGTGAATGTTTGATCGATGCATCCACGACCGGCGCGAAACCCAGCCTGCTCTTCACGCGTGGTGCACAATCGGCGGATAATGATGGACGCCAACAGCTTCGACGCTATCGGGATCAGGCTTATACCCCTGTGATTGGCGCAGTCATTACGCGGGCCCTTTTTAAAGATGGGGACAACAATCGATTCCCCCCACGAGGAGGAAACTTGCTCAGTGTTCCACACTTTGGAGAACAGGACTTGGAGTTCTCTAACAAGCTTTATTCCACCATCTTCAAATAGAGTAGGGGGAAGGCCATCGGAGCCCGGCGCCTTGTGACGACCCAAGGCTTGGATCTCCTTGCGGATTTCCGCTTCAGATGGGTCTGTTGTTGTTGTTGCCTTTCTCTACCTATATTTGAAAATGGTCGAATCAAGTGTTTTAGAGAATTGGTGACTGTTCTCTTAAGTCTGGCACACAGCAAGGCTCTCACTGTGAGGGGAATCGATTGTCGTTCCCATTTTTTAAAAAGACCCACTTAGTGAATGCACCAATCAGGGGTATAAGCCCGAATCCCAATAGCATCAGAGCTGTTAGCGTCCGTCCGCCGATTGTACACTGCTTGAGAAACAGACCGGCTAGCAGCATACTGGGTTTGGCGCCGGTCGTGAATGTAATGATGTAATGTTCACCATCCGACAGCTGCAAGAGCACCGCCATGCTTACCACAGATCAACGATCATTGTGTTCTTTGACTGTGATGAGCTCGAATGATCTAGCGACGAAGGAGAGAAAGCGGACAACCGGAAATGAGGCTTTAATCTTACAATGTAGGTACATCAGCTATAATAGAAAGATAGAAAATCTACATTATCAGTAAACGGTGGTATTGAGATCAAAGGTATAACAAAATCACCACATAGACATTGTCACGGCTTTCGACTCTATCGGTAGGACCGTACTATGGAGCTGTTTGTTGAGGACTGGAATACCTGAGAAGTATGTATCAATCCTCAAAGAGTTTTGTCGTTATACCTCAGGTCGGGTTGGAGCCTACGACCGGCTTTTGCCAACCTTTGCCGTCTCCGTTGGAGTTCGACGAGGTTGCTTTTTATCCCCATTCTTCTTCAACTTCACCATAGAGGATGTTCTAAAGGATGCTTTGTCCGGTTTAACAATCGGTGCAGTCGAACTCCGCCCAGGGTGCAGAGTTCTTGACTTGCGGATGACATCGCCCTGTTGGATGACAATGCACAAACAGTCCAACAGGCTTTAAACCACTTGGCGACCGAGGTATCCAGGTATGGTATGTGCTTTACACCATCAAAATGTAAATCATCATCGTACAACAAAAAACCGTAAAGCAAACTTCACTGTTCGCTGCCAAACTCGCAATACATACAAGTTTAGTGGTAATATTTAAGGTAGACAGGGATTGAACCTAGTTTGAGGGAAAGGGAAGGTGAATCTCTATGGTCAACACAGTACACAATCGCACTCTGCTTACATGATGAGAAATGGCAACAAGAACGCCACTGTTGTCAGTTCACCACCATATCCTTCAATGTCTCTAACCAACCAGTTGTGGAGTCTTTTGGACCCCAACCTGGAAGGCGAGAGACACCTATTCTACCTAATGGCTATGCACATTTCTTCATACCTGGTCTCCACGTGATCTGTTGACCTCCACATGGTTTCCTCCAGCCCGGATTAGCTACAGCGAATAAAGCGCGGGTGCGGTAGACGATAG